CGGAGAATGATGGTTTCCAGGTTCATCCATGTCCCTACAAAGGACCCAAACTCATCGTTTTTGATGGCTGCATAATATTCCATGGTGTATATGTGCCACATTTTCCCTATCCAGTCTGTCGTCGCTGGGCATTACATCTTGTCCTCCCAAATAGCACATTCCTTCTATTGTGGTTTTATCATCAATATAAAGAAATAGACTGCAGCCTTGAACTGGCTGAGATTACTTGAGATGGCCTCAGGTGATCCTCCCACCAGGCTGGATCCAGGATGTTATGAGTAGAATTTTCGATGCTGCCAAAGAAGTAGCACTCGAATATAAATTTCCTCAGCAGGGCAATTTACTTCTATAGGAGGGTGCGGCTCACAGATGGAACAAAGGCAAGTGCACACCTGGACAAGGAGGGGAAGAGGTACTTATGCCCTGAATGAGGTTGCCCCTACTGCTGTGTCATTCCCCTATTGGCTAGTGTCAGATTGCACAGTCTAGTCTAATTTCGATTGGCCATTTTAAAGGGGGCAGGTATATGAGCCGGAGTGGGGGGGTTAGAGGGGGTTGGGTAGCTTGGCGGGAAGGACGGTTACCGGCAGGTCAGAGCAGATAAGAAGGGGTCAAAGCAGGTGACTGGAGCAGGTGACCAGGATGAGTCAGGAAGGGGCAGAGGACCAGGCGAACAGATGTAAACTACTGATTAGAACTGGTGGAAAAGGTTGTTTACTGAAATTACAAGGAAGTTAAACTTTAAAGTAGAGAATTAAAGAATAAGAGAGCTGAACATACTGATTCTTTGAAGAGAAACTTGGTGTTCACTCTATCTAACAAGGAGTTCAAGGCGGCAGTGAGCTGTAATCTCACCACTGCACTTCAGCCTGGGTGGCAGAGACCCTGCCTCAATAATAATAATATATTTTAAAAATTAAAAAAAATGCAAGAAAGGCAAATTAGGGATTTTTGCGAATATCTTCTGAACCCTCATAACTGCCCTAGAAGATAGTATTATTCCTCTTTTACAAGTAAGAAAACTAAGGCTTCTAGAGCTTAAATGACTTGCCCAAGATCACTCAGATAAAAGTGGGAGTTGCACAATCAACTCCTTTAATTTCAGAGCTGAAAAACCTGCCAGCATAGCAGAGTGCTGTGAATTATCAGGAACAGGTGAGATCAGTGATTGTGATGGCGCTGGGAGAAGGGGTGTACCTGAATTCGCTTTTTAAAAAGTAGTCAATAAAGAGGCTAGGTCACAATGTCGTATTTACCAGCATCTAAGATAGTGCTTCCCCATTGCCCACGTGGCAGAAAGCTCTTCCCCTGCTCTGCCCGCAGGACCGATCCTCTCCCTGCAAGATCTGTGGAGATTTCTCAAGGACATGGTTGCAGGGATAAATTGTGTCAGCTGTTGCTTTTTAAGGGCGCAAATCAATCTGATTAAACCAAGTTCCTGAGAGAGACTGACTACGGGAGGATGAAAGGGGAGTACGCTGACGCTGGTGGTTCATTTTTGACCTTTTCTCTTTCCGAAAACGTGGAGTAGCTGGTATGTGGGCACAGAGTATGTCATGAGGACATTTTTTAGCAAATCCATGAGCTGACACGTAAAAGCTGACCTGGGATTAAAAGGTAAGTCAGTTGGGCATCCTTATAAGAACAAACCTTTCTGGCCAAAAGACCAGGCTGGCAAACTCCTGCTGTTGCAATTCCTGCTCTAGAATGACAGAGTCACCACATGAGTGTGACCTGGTGTCTAGGAATGGGAATTAATCTAATTCACCTCCTGTTTCTTTGGAGATGGCTTGGCTCTGTAGTGGAGAGAATATAGCCTTTGAAGCCAGACAGACCTGGGCTCAAATTCTAGCTCTGTGGCTCCTGAAAATCTACCTAATTTCTCTACTGCTCAGTTTCCCCATTCATTGAATGAGGATCATAATATTTACCATGTAGGGCTACTGTGGTTATCAAACAAGATGAAGTAAAAGGGCCAGGCATGGTGGCTCACGCCTGTAATCCCAGCACTTTGGAAGTCCAAGGAGGGCAGATTTCTTGAGTTTAGGAGTTTGAGGCCAGCCCGAGCAACCTGGTGAAACTCCGTCGATTAAAAAAATATGGTAATTAGCCGGCATGGTGGGATGCACCTGTAGTCCCAGCTGAGGATACAGTGAACTGAGATTACTCTGTACACTCTAGCCTGGGTGACAGAGCCAGACCCTGTCATACACACAAAAAAAGGGACAAAGTAAAAGGACACCCCAAGGTGACTGGCAGTAAATGGGTGGCTGCTACCTCTGTTACCAAAATCAAGCCTCCAATCTCTATGCCATGTGCATACCTGGACAAGCAGCTTGGTTCCACCTGCAGCCTTGTGTCCCTTTCCTGCTCTTTAGAAGGTAACTGTTTCAGGAACAAAGCTCTGCACGTGTTAGCGACGCCAAGCAGCCCTGTGAGGAAAGGGCTCCAACTGGAGTGGCCCCATTAGAGGGGAACCGGCATGGGGCAGGGCTGCTGTGCAGCCTGGGGAGATTCAGTTCACCTCTCTGGGCCTCCAGTTTTTCAGTGGTATCTGGGGGTAAGGATAGCTGCCCATTGCATGATTGGAATAATCACATTTATCCTATATAAACAACCAACAGGGACTTGACTCTTACCTGCCCACTCCTTGCAGTAGGGATTTAGGAAATATCTGCCTCTTGACCTGGATGGGTGTGGATGAAGGCCAGACTGTAGGGAGGACCCACTGAGAGTAAGGCAGTGAATGTCCTCTGCAAACTGCGCCATGCTGGACCTACCTGGAACATTCCTGACCTGTGAAGAATATGTGCCAGCACTTGTGTTTTTCATTTACAGCTGCAGTGACCCTAAATTCCTCAAATTCCCTGAGTGCAAGGCCATGGCTCAGAAAAGCCCTGTGGACAACACCATTAATCTCCCCTACAAGGACCTGACCTCCGAGGTGACCAGGCGCAGAGTCATCATGACCACCAGGTACCCAAAATCTTTCCTGTGGATTGCTTGTGGGATTGGGATAGAGCATAACACTGAGCCCCAGCAAGCACCTGAAACTGTAGCTGGCACTGGTTTATTTAAATGTATTCAATTGCTGCTGCGAGACACACTTCTCGGAAGCGGAAACTGCTTTGTCATCCATTGCGAAAAACAGACTTTTCCCACATGGCCCTTCAAGGGGCAATGACAGCCATTTGTGTATGTTTACTGCGTGGGTGGTAATGGGATAAACTTCAATTGGTGGCTCTTTAGAGGGCGAGGAGTGGGGATCACTTTGTTTTGTTTTTGTATTTTTTGAGACAGGGTCTCACTCTGTCACCCAGGCTGGAATTCAGTGGCACAATCACAGCTCGCTGTAGCCTCAGCCTCCGCCTCCTGGGGCTTAAGCAATCCTCCCACCTCACCCTCCCAAGTAGCTGGGACTACAGCCATGCACCACCATGTCTGGTTAGTTTTTTGTATTTTTAATAGAAACAGAGTTTTGCCGTGTTGCCCATGTGGGTCTCAAACTCCTCGGCTCAAGTGATCTACCTGCCTCAGCCTCCCAAATTGCGGGGATTATGGACCAGAGCCACTGTACCTGCCCACGCTGACACCTCTAGCTTGAGCTCTTTGTGGGGTATATTATGAGATTAAAAATAATCTTACTAAATCTGATTAAGAAGTTGGTAAAGAAAAAATCAAAATTATTGATTCAAATTAGAAAATACAGACTTCCATATAATATTGTTTACAATGCCCTTTGATCTTTGAGTTTATTAGGATGTAAGGTTTTAGCAGATTGATAGGAATTAGGAACCGTTTCTTAGTTACCATACACGAGAATGTTAAATCTTTGTTGTTAGCAGTGCATGGCGAATTTGACACCACGGGTTTAGACCATGAGAGTGGCCGTTGTCTGCAGGAAGCTGTGCTCCCAATGCTCTGAAGTTCATCCAAGAAAAAAGAGATGGCATAATTTTAGGCCTCTCCTAGGCACCAAACAATTCTCTTGCTATTATCCCACATCCTCACAGCAACATCAGGGATCAGCTTTCATTGGGAGATGGCAGCAGTGAACTTGTGGCCAGATTAAAATTTAAATTTGGATTCCAGTTCTGCCTTTTACTGGTCACATGATCTGGGTAAATCACCTTCTGTCTCAGCTTCCTCAGCTCAAAGGTTTAATGTGAGATATGGCTGAGATTCTATATGTGGTTGATTTCTAGGTAATTTCCAGTCCCTGGAACGTAGTAAGTGTTCAGGGAACAGTTAAATCTGAACCTGTAAAAGCTTGACGGGCTAGTCCTATGCCCTTGAAGGCAGGGTTTGCCCAGCCCTGAGGAGGATGGGAAGACCCTGGTGTGCCTCAGCAGAAGGGGAGGTGAACCCTGCAGCCTGCAGATGCGGGCAAGTTAGGCCAAAGGGAGCTGTGAAGTGAACCTGGGGCTGAACTGGCCCTACGAAGAGCTGGAATGCAAATAAAACATTTAGAGGCAGCCTGCCCCATGCCGAAATGTACAGAGAGCTGCCCATTTGATGGGTAGAACTCCTGCTCTAATCCTAAGAGAGCTTGGAGGATGATGGTGGAGGAGCGAGGGAGTAGACTCCAACTCTATTCATGCCAGGGCACCAATGGAGATAGATGAGTTCACTCTGAAGAGAGCTGACTGACAACTAAAGTGTACATAGAATATATCTCATATCTGCAGAGTGAGTGTGGGTGGAGGAGCTTGGAAGGAAGTCCTCCAAAATGTTAACTATTCTCTTTAGATGCTGGCATCTGGGATGTTTCTTTTGCGCCCTCTTTTTTGTTGTTTTGAGACAGGGTCTTACTCACCCAGGCTGGAGTGCAGTGGTGCAGTCACAGCTCACTGTAGCCTTGATCTCCTGGGCTCAAGCAATCCTCCCACCCCGGCCTCCCGAGTAGCTGGGACTACAGGCACATGCCACCATGCCTGGCTAATTTTTAGTCTTTTTTTGTAGAGACAGGGTCTCCCTATGTTGTCCAGGTTGGCCTTGAACTCCTGGGCTCAAGTGATCCTCCCACCTCAGCCTCACAAAGTTCTGGCATTACCCAAGCTAATTGATGGGTGAACTCCTGCTCTAACCCTGAGTCTATTCTATTTTTTAAAAAAGCTTATCTTTATAAAATGACATTCAATGTCCCTTTCTTTCTAGAAAAGAGATAATCACCCAGAAAAGTGATGAAGCTAAGATGCTCTCCCACTTGGATTGGGAACAAGCCCCTCCCCCTCACAGGACCCACCTCAGAGTACCTCCTGCCCCACCTCCCTCTCCAGCTGAGGATCCCACAGACTCCTAAGATAAAAACCTTAAGTTACTTTGAAATGAATTCTTACACAGAACTCCAGAAAATAGTTTCAGTGGTGTTCTTGAGGTTTGTCTTAGAAGACTCTTGAAGATCTTTGTTCTTTCCTATTTTTCTTCATCACCTAGAATTACCATACAGCACGGTTTACCCTTGTGAATATACTTAGTCATTTTGATTTTTCAAGCCAAGTCTCTGATACAATATGCATAGACTTTGATCTTTAATATACGTCATGTTATAGAACTATTGCCGTAGTCAGTTATATTTAAATTAATAAAGAATTGTCACGCCTTGTTGTTTATTACTGATTCTGAATCCGTGAAAAGGCCAGGGCTTTAAAGTCCAGAATTTAAAGATCTTAGGTAGTGGGAACCCCGAGGTAGCTGGATTTTCAAAACACAACCCAAGACACTACAGTCATGTGGCCCTGTAACTAACTAGCTTAATGGAGCGGCATTTCCATGCTGTGTGCTGGGGCTAGGGTGGTTGAGTTTTATGTTTATTGACAATGTTTTTAAAGTTTGCTTCTGGGAGATTTCAAGTGATTTTCAAACTCTGTAACGGAAAACTCTACCCTGAAAAGCAGCCAAGTGCAGAGTGTTCTGCTGGGGAGAAGTCTATTGCTTGAGTCCCCTCCAAGCTCCTGGACCTCAGCGTACCTCTAAGGACTCCCAGAGCTCTTCTGAATTGTTTGAAGGCATCAAAAATGTGATAATCCTGGCATACATACACATGTAAGAAAGAGTCCTGCATGCCATCCTTTATTTCATCTGCTTCTTCCTAGAGATGTTCTCTCTTCAGGCCTGCCCTTATAAATGTGCTCTGGCTTCCCTATGAAAAAGGGAGCTAAGCTTCTGTACCCCATTGTGCGGTTGGGGTAATCACTCTATGATCTCCCCCGTCCCTAACCCCAAGCGTTTAATAGAACCAATGTGCCTTTGTTAAAAAGAAAAAGTGCTCCAGTTCTTCTACTCCCAGAGTAGCGGGCTGTGCCATTGGTGTGGGTCGGGCTCCTTACCTGTGGCCTTCAGTGGTGTGAGGCAGGGGAGGAGCGTGCACTGAGTGTCTGTCATTGCCAGCTGGTTGCTAGACACACAAGCTTCCTTTCCTCAGTCTGGGGAGGAAATGAGCCCGCACTGTCCAATAGGACAACCACTAGCCACTTGTGACTACCTCAATTTAAATTCATCAAAATCAAATCAATTCAGTTCTTCAGTCATACTAGTCGCATTTCAAGTGCTTAGTAGCTTTGTGCAGCCAGTGGCTACCATATAGGATGTTGCAGATAGAGAATGTGATTGCCATTAAAGAGAGTCCTATACAGCCAGGCATGGTGGCTCACCTCTGTAATCCCAGCACTCTGGGGGGCAGAGGCAGGTGGATCACCTGAAATCAGGAGTTCAAGACCAGCCTGGCCAACATGGTGAAAGAGTGTCTCTACCAAAAATACAAAAATTAGCTGGGTGTGGTGGCGTATGACTGTAATCCCAGCTACTTTGGAGGTTGAGGCAGGAGAATCGCTTGAACTCGGGAGGTGGAGGTTGTGGTGAGCCGAGATTGTACCACTGTGCTTCAGCCTAGGCAACAGAGCAAGAATGTCTCAAAAAAAAAAAAATTTCTATTAGACAGTGATGGGGCAGAGGTTAACATGTCCAAGGACACACAGCCAGTTAGAAATAGAATTGAGGAGACGTCAAGGTGGGAATGACTAATTCTTGTGTTAGTTTTATTTCCATTTGGTTTCTGAACACATTCTAGGATGTTCTCTCTTCATTTGTTCAACAAATATTGCATACCTACTATGTGAGCAAGGCACTGTTCTAGGTATATGTCATTGTACAAAACAATCAATCCCTACCCAGTGGAGTTTATATTCTAATGGAGAAAGGTTAATAGAAAACATACACAATGTAAGGCCAGGTGCAGTGACTTACACCTCTAGTCCCAGCACTTTGGGAGGCCAAGGTGGGCAGCTTGCTTGAGTTCAGTTTGAGACCAGCCTGGATAACATAGCAACCTCATATCTACAAAAACATACCAAAAAAAAATTTAGCTGGGCATCGTGGCGGGCACCTGGAGTCCCATCTACTTGGGAGGCTGAGGTGCAAGGATCACTTGAGCCTGGGAGGTGGGGGTTGCAATGAGCTGAGATTATGCCACTACACTTCAGCCTGGGAGACAGAGTGAGACTCTCTCTCAAAAATAAAACAAATATACAAGGTAAAAACAGTGAATTATACATCAGGAGATGATGAGTATAATGGAGAACATGTGTTAAAGCAGTGAAACATGGAAAGGGAGATTTGAAGTGCCCATTGGTTGCAGCTTTAAACAGGTGGTCTGTAGGTTTCTGAGTCCATTTTCACACTACTGATAAGGCATACCCAAGACTGGGGGAAAGAAAGAGATTTAATTGGACTTACAGTTCCGCATGGCTGGGGAGGCCTCAGAATCATGGCGGAGGGTGAATGGCCCCTCTTACTGGTGGCGGCAAGAGAAAATGAGGAAGATGCAAAAGCAGAAACTCCTGATAAAACCATCAGATCTTGTGAGACATATTTGCCACCACGAGAACAGTATGAGGGAACCATCCCCATGATTCAAATGATCTCTCACGGTGTTCCTCCCACAACATGTGGGAATTATGGGAATACAATTCAAGATGAGATTTGGGTGGGGACACAGCCAAACCATATCATTCTGCCCCTGGTCCCTCAAAATTTCATGTCCTCACATGTCAAAACGAATAATACCTTCCCAACATTTCCCCAAAGTCTTATTTCAGCATTAACCCAAAAGTCCACGCTCCAAAGTCTTATCTAAGACAAGGCAAGTCCCTTCCACCTATGAGCCTGTAAAATCAAAAGCAAGCTAGTTACTTCCTAGATACAGAGGGGTACAGGTATTGGGTAAATACAGCCATTCCAAATGGGAGAAATTGGCCAAAACAGGGGTAAAGGGCCCACGCAAATCCAAAATCCATGGGGCAGTCAAATTTTAAAGCTCCAAAATGATCTCCTTTGACTCTAGGTCTGCAGGCCTCTTTAGGAAGGTGGCATTTGAGCAAAGACTTCAAGCCAGTGATGGAGTTAGGTGTGTAGACATTTGGGACAGAAGGAAGACCTAGTACAGAGGTTCAGAGGTAGAAGTGTGCCTGGTGTATTCAAGGAGAGCAAGGAAACTTGAGTAGGATGAATCAGGGACATTCGCAGGATGAAGGCACAGTGGTGCAGGAAGGAGGCAGATCATGTGGGGCTTTGTAAGAACTCTGACTTTGACTTTGAGTTGTGAAGCCATGAGGGTTTTCAGAAAATGAGGCATGATCTGGCTTGTGTTTTAATAGGATTGTTCTGGTTGCGGTGTTGAGGGAACAGAAGCAAGTCAGCTGCTATTGTAGTAATCCAGAAACAAGACGATGGTCATTTAGACCAGACATGTACGGAGGGAAGATAACGCGAAGATGTAGGGAACAGACGGCCATCTATAGTTGGGGTGATGAGAAATATGGGCAGGTTTGGGATCTATGTGTTTGAAGATGATACCCACAAAAGCTGCTGATGGATTGGATATGAGGTATGAGAGAGAGAGGTGAGTAAAGGATAACTGCAAGATTTTTGACCCAAGCAACCAGAGGGGTGGAGTTTCCATCAGCCACAAGAAGGGCAGATTTACCTGCGTGCAATGGCTCATGCTTATAAGCCCAGCACTCTGGAAGGCTGAGGCAGGAGGACTGTGTGAGGCCAGGAGTTTGAGAACAGCCAGGTCAACATAGGGAGACCCTGTCTCTACAAAAAATAATAATAATAATAATTAGCCAAGCACAGTTACTCATACCTGTAGTCCCACCTGCTTGGGAGGCTCAAGTTACTTCTTGCTCGAGCCCAGGAGTTTGAGGCTGCAGTGAGATATAATTGTGCCACTGCCCTCCAGCCTGTGTGATAGAGTGAGACCTTGTCTTAAGAAAATAAAATAAAAATAAAAAGATTAGATTTGGTGTGTCTGATGAAAAAATAGAGGAGAAAGATGTTTAATATGTGCTTATTTGATATGCCTAATAGACATCTAAATGGAGATACCAAGTGGGTATGTGATATATGAATCTGGAGTTCAGGAGTAATGGCTAGGCTAGAGATATAACCATGGGGGTTCTTTAGCATATGTGAGATGAAATTTAAAGCCCTAATATTAGATGAGATATCCATAGGAATGAGGAAATAAGAACAGAACCTAAAATGAGCCCTGGGGTGCTTCAATCTTAAGAGGTCAGGGCTAAAGGGAGGAACCAGCAAAAGAAACAAAGACGGAACAGTCAAAGATGGAGGAGGAGTCTAACATTCTGGAAGCTTCACAAAGAAAAAGTTTTTCTTCCCTTTGTTTCTTCTTCCTTCACCCTCTTCTTCCATCCCAAAGCCTGACACAGTAGATTATGGAGAGAATGAACAGGAACCATGGGCAGGGCTGTGCAAACAGGATTGGCTCATCTCAGCATCTCAGTGTCTTTTCACCTTCCACTTTTATTCAAACACCTGGCAGATAAAGGTGCTTAGTGGGATGAATGAGCTCATGTATTCTGATTTCTGGGCTTTTCAGTTTTAACAGTCTGCTTTCAGCTGGGGAGAGTGGTAACACCCAGATGTTACAGGCTGAATGGTGTCCCCACCCCAAATTCATATCTGAAAGTCCTAATCCTAATACTTTAATTATTTTTAATTATTTTTTTTTTTTGAGACAGTCTTGCTCTGTTGCCCAGGCTGGAGTGTGGCGGTGTGACCTTGGCTCACTGCAGCCTTCACCTCCCAGGTTCAAGTGATTCTCCTGTCCCAGCCTCCCAAGTAGCTGGGATTGCAGGTACGCACCACGACATCCAGCTAATTTTTGTATTTTTAGTAGAGACAGGGTTTCACTATGTTGGCCAGGCTGGTCTTAAATTCATGACCTCAAGTGATCCTCCCGCCTCAGCCCCCCAAAGTGCTGGGACTACAGGTGTGAGCCACCACACCTGGCCCTAATCCTAATACTTTAGAATGTGACTGTCTTTGGAGATAGGGCCTTCAAAGAGGTGACTGAGCTAAGTTTAGGCCATTAGGGTAAAAAAGAGGAGACTGGGACACAGACATGTACAGAGGGAAGATAATGTGAAGATGTAGGGAACAGACAGCCA